CAGAAATTACATAATGAAGCTCTGACAAACATTGGGCAATCCTTTCAGAAAAGAATTGGGCAACTTAAAAGCATAGACCCATTAAATATGGGAAATCCATTTCGGCTCTTGAGAGCACATGCTCCCAGTGGCGGAGCTTGAGCCAAAATTATGGGGGGGGGCCATGGGCTAGAGGGGGGGCAAACTTAACTATATTAGCTGATTTTTGATGGAAAATATGCCTAACACAAAGGAGTATCTACATGTTTTCTTGTGAGCTTGGGGGGGCCATGGCCCAGGTTGGCCCCCATGTAGCTCCGCCACTGCATGCTCCTGCATATCAAATATGTTTTTGTAAGTGTCAAACGAATCTGAAAAAAATGTGTTCATTGTCACACTCAAATGCTACGTGCAAATTTTTAGGGGGAAAGCTTAAGCATTTTCACCAGTGCCAAAAAAACTAGTCAAAACCCAAGTGTTACACTTAATTTTTTTTAACCAACAAAGTACTGCTATCCCGTTTCTCATGAAAATTGTCAAGCACACTTGTTACACTAACAAGAACATCTACACAAGTTTTTTTTGAAATTTATTTACTATTTATTTTGATTTTACTGTTTATTCGAGAGCATACATATACCTCTCGGATAAAAAGAGATGCTATATGTTCAACCCAGATTAGCAGATGAATTTCAGGAAAAGAAGATCCCTACAATACAATGCTCTGCTGTAAAATTATAGCATGCTAATACGGGGACTGCACTGTACTTTTGTCCACACTGAAATTTGAGGCAATAATCTTTTCTTTTTAGGCAACACAATTTTCTTCTTGCAGTAGCGCCGCTTAAGGTAGCAGACAAATTTCAGTACAAAAAGATGGAACACACGATGCTCTGCTGTCTAAATATACAGATGGACTGCAGGGTATCTCCACACAGAAAGAGTAGTCACATAAAACTCTGATTTTTCTCGAATTTGGTAATTGGTCTGTACATCTGAATCTGGTAGTAAATCCATGAACACACAGCTCAACCAACTGAGAGCACAAATAACCAAATGATGGCCTGACCAGAAGCTATGAGCCAGAATAACACTCAGTCAGAGCCATACAAACTACGAAAAATTGGACCGGTCAGTTATGAAATTTAGTGAGATTTCTTCAGAGATTCTAGTAATCTCAAAGTATATCACAAAACCGACATAGCATACCTACGACAATATACAATTCATCGATACCAAGCATAATAGAAGCACAAACTGAAAATCCGTTCTCCTAGTATTACAATCTGTTTATTCCACACGCATATAACAGGCACACGGATAATAGGTGGTCCAATGCAAGCCAATGCACTAAACCAGCTGCCTGTGTGTTCAGATTAACAGTTTAACACACTCGCAAACCACACCAGGCAGCCCCGTAGATGCACGCAGGCACACAGGGCTGCTGCTTAGTCAATCACTCCAGGTTCATACTCATGCAGCCAAGAGGCAGCAAGCAGGCATCCTCAATCGCAAGCCATACTCCCGCACACACGACGGTGCCGCAGCCAAGAACCATGCTGCATCTTATTTGAAAGCCACAAAGATGGGAGCCACCACAAGCTCACACGTGACACAAAAACACACAGTAGCAGTAGGAGTCAATCAATCGACGACTGACACCACCTGCAAATCTCTTTCAAGCAACCCGGGCCGGAAGCACACAATAAACCAACCCCACATGCAGCAGACAGCAGGACCTGCAGGAGCGAGCATCCATCTGGTCTCCCATTAAGGATGGAAGAACCACATCAGTGCAGCACAGCGCAAGGATCACCTACACAATGTAAGTGGCAGAGTGCAGAAAAAAAAAGGGTGAGTAGCAAAACTGACATTGAGTATGATATTGGCAGTTTACAAAAATGGATTTTTTACATGTCAGAGAGAGTACCTGAGGACGGAGACCCTGGGTAGTTTCTTCTTGTAGTAGCGTGAGTGCAGCGGCGTCTCGAAGTGGCCAGGGGCCACCTCCCCGTCCCACTCCAGCGCATCCCAGACGTCTTTCTCGATCTCAACGGATGGCTTCTTCATGCCTCTGCTACGGGCACACACCACCCGCAGCCGGCGCATGCCCCAGCATCCTCTGATCTTGATGGTCTTGAGCTCCGGTGCCACCATCTTGAACTCAGATATCTGCTGCAGCACTGGCAGGTCATGCAGGTGGATGGTGGTCAGCCTTGGGAATGCTACAACTTGGATGGTGGCCAGCCTTGGGTACCATTTCTCGTCTAGCACGAATATGTGCCTGAGGTCTCCGCAGTGGATGATGTGGAGGGTCTCCAAACTTGGGAAGGAGTCGACCCACACAGGGAGCATGAATTGGAGCCTGGGGCAAGAGCGCAACTGTAAGTGTTGCAGTTTTCTGAACGAACCATCATTGAATCTGCGGTAACCTTTACTGCATATCCAGCGGGTTGTTAGGAGATCTGACACCCAGAAGGTCTCCAGATCCTTAAATAGATCTGATCCCCTCTGGAAGACTTCACCCAACTTGGGGCATCTCTCCATGCGGCACTGCCTGAGGAACTCCCAGTGTACCCCAGGCAAACCAGCACTAGTTGAGACATCGTGGACATGCAGGGATTCGGCAAAAAATTTCATCATATCATATAGTCCACTCTCAAAGGAGTGGCTCCCTTCAGCAATCTCAATATGCCGATCCAAGTTGTTAGTCAGAGGCTTAGGGAAGGCCAGCATCGGAGCATCACCGGCCATGCTTTGGACATCACTATACCGGTCTGCTTGAACAAGCTGCGACAGGCTGACTTGATCTCCATACATGTCAATCTTCTTCTCCTTGTATGCCACTTCGGATTCAATCGTTCCATTATACACAGCTGAGGTGGCATGGATATTAAAATAAACATCCTTAATAATTGCATAATGACTATATAATGGATGCCACAACGACCAAAGAAGCCTGGCATCCACAACAGTGGCATGCACCTCCAAACGAAAGGATTTTTTGGGGTCAGTGCATGGCCGTGGATGGCCAGTTCCAGCTCGTGTGTCTATGCACAACAAATTCAAATGGAAGCTATCTTTAGAGCTCCAAATTATTGCCCGAAGGTGCTCACATCCTAGCAGAAATAGTTGCTTCAGCATTGGGACTTCTAATACCATAGTATTGAAATCAAGTGTCTTGATTGCGGTTCCAGAGAGGTCAAGCTCAACGAGGTTGGGCAACCCACGCATGAACATATTCTCCAATTGTGAGCAACTTTCGAGGGAAATCTTAGAGATACTGACACCTTCCTTAGTTGCTGGGATCGAAGGACGTTCTTGTTTTAGAGGTAGCTCGACAGTAGGCGTACGAACGAAAGCTGGCCCATATCCATCAAGGCTGAAGCACTTCAGCAAGCGAGGTAGCCCATCAGGGATAGCAACATTTTTAAGCTCATTGCAACCATCCAGAATAAGCACTTGAAGGCTACTTGCTTTAGATAGGCTGTTTGGTAGAATTTTCATTTCACTGTTGCCAGACAGGTCAAGTATTTCCAGCTTTGCCTTGTCCATGAAGGACCTGCTTGGTTCTGTTGAAATATCCGGTCCACGACTAGGCTTGATTACCCGAAGCCTTTTAAGGTTTGGTAGCCGACCTTGTAAGTGAGTTGTGTATTGCCAACACCAGACACCCTCTATGCTTAGCGTCATGAGGTTATCCATGAGATCCATCTTTTCCGGCCATAAGATTTCATTCCATTCAGTGTAATGTAGGTCCAACACCCACAAACTATGAAGACAAACCCACTCAGTATGATCCTCTCCTTCCCCTGTTTTGTCATCTGTACAGTGGCATAGTCCAAGGAATCTTAGGTTATGGCAGTTTAGGAAAGGAGGTGATGCAAAACTGAAGGCACACCAACAGAGAGTCAGTACACCAAGGTTGCTGGAATGTTGAAACAAACCATTTGGTAATGCTGCTGGCTGATCAGATATTTGAAACTCCAAGAAGAATGATGATGTCTCTTCTGGTAAACTTTTGATACCCAGTACACCACCGGACTCGCGGGCTATGCCTACGGCCCAGGGCCGTCGGCATAGGTCCATTGCCGTCGGCATATCCCCGTCGGCGTAGATCACGTCAGCGTAGATGTGTCAGACCGTCGGCGTAGTATAGCCGTCGGCATAGGAGCATATGCCGACGGCCGTGGGAGAGCCGTCGGCATAGTTTAGCCATCGGCGTTGTTTTCCGTCTGACGGCAACGGACGGCGCCGTCAACAGCGCTGGCGATTCAGGGGACGACACGTGGCGCATGTATGCCGACGGCTCGGCCGTCGGCATAGATGGAAATCTATGCCGACGGCCTAGCCGTCAGCATACATGCGCCACGTGTCGTCCCCCGGCTTCTCCTGGCGACAGGGCTATGCCGACGGCTTTGCCGTAGGCATATCTCTGCCATGTGGCAGTTCCTGGTAACTCCTGGGTGTATATATGCCGACGGCTTTGCCGTAGGCATAGTTTTTTTTGTTTTTTTTTATTTTCCCTGTTTTCTCTTTTCCAATTCATTTGAAAGCATTTCAAAACAGAACAATATGAAATTATGCAGAAATATGACAATTCATCATGTGAACATACTCAAGTTCATCTAAACATACTCAAGTTCACCATCATCATCTAAACATACTCAAGTTCATCACATCATCTAAAGATCATCACCGATGGAAGTTCATGAACATAAAAGTAGTGCAAGACATGAAACATGATAAAAGTAGGAATATGAAAGGCATGGCACGATGGCCACATGCACGGAATCATCAAGCAAGAGCACCCCCGCCAAAACCACCACCTCCGCCAAAACCACCGCCACCACCTCCGCCAAAACCACCACCACCACCTCCGCCAAAACCGCCATCGCGACCACCACCACTCTGCCAGATCGGAGTGACTGGGGTCGACGGAGCAGGAGTCGAGCCACCGGTCCCCTACATGTTTCAGAAAAGATTCTAACGGTAAATATGATACGATAGTGTTTCATGAACGAGAACTAGTTTGCTAGTAGTTAGGCAAATGTACTAACCGGACCATCACTGCCTAGTGCCACCCATTCATCGAACGTGGGCACGTGTGGGGGTTCTCCCGCAGGTGGTGGTGGGGGTCCCATTTGTGGTGGATCCGTGCGGTTAGTCCAAGACGCCAACATAGCCTGAATGTTAGTTAAACAAGCAAACTAGAAGATCAGAAGGAATGAAAGTGCAAAAATTTAGGTTGATTTTAAGAGGGCAAAACTAACCGTCATCATCTGACGGTTGTAATCATCGTTTGCCTTCACTCGTTTCAAGTACTCCCGCACCTCGAGATTCCTATGCTCGACAAACTCCTTATATGCCTACATAATTTAGGTTGTTTCTAAGTGAGCAATGCTGAAAATAAACTGAGAATGCAAGATAGAAAAAGATAAAGAGGAAGTACTTACAGCATGCTGGCGGGCTAAGGGAGTCTGTGAACGCCCCGTACTCTCTAACTGGCTCGGGTTGCTAGCCCGAAGCCGTGTGTACGAGATCGAAGGAGTGATCAAGCCATCGAAACACGGATACCGGCCATTCTTCTTCCCCTGGATGGCCACCACCGCCGTGTCGTCGATCTGAGACTGGGCGACCTCAGCAACAGGAACATCCGGATGCAACTCCTGATAGTGATGAATGTAAGACCCCAGGTGCTCCTCGGTCTTGCCGTAGTACTGGCTCTCGCCCTCCATGCGATGACTCCGCTCGCGGGCCAGCTTCCACGACTCCATGTCTGAGAGCGGCCTCTTCAACTTGTCCTCCTACAACGTCAAATAGAAGTCAGCCATACATAAGAACATGACATAAAGAAGAACAAAAATGCATCATGCACATAGATATACCTTCATGGCCTTGAAGCCCCAGTGGTTCCTGTTTCCTTGGCCGTGTGTCCCGTCGGCATAGATTTGACGTCGTTAGCCGGCCGTGATGACAGCTGTCAGCGGGCCCGCATCTATGCCGACGGCCTATATATGCCGACGGCAGCTGTAGGCGTAGTCTAGAATAAGCCGACGGCCTATATATGCCGACGACTGCTGTCGGCTTAGACGCGGATAGCCCGACGGCCATTGTACGCCGACGGCCAGGAGTTTGCTGTCGGCATAGCTCGGACTAGGCCGACGGCAGCCGTCGGCATATATTTGGCTGTCGGCGTAGAGCCCTGTTCCGGTAGTGGTATTTCACTATCCCTCGATGTGATTGAAATCCAACGGTATGGTCCTTCTTTATACACATCATCTTCTTTAACTATGAGAAAAGGAAGCTTGAAATGTTTCTTGAACTCTATAAGCACATTATCATCACACTCCCATCTTATTTCTCGGTGCAATGCATCACCTATCTCCGTTGTTATGTCTTTTGGCAGTATCCCATCACATATCCAATAACTCGAAGCAAGACCATCCCAACCAGAATTGGTCTTGCAAAAACCACATTGCAGAAAGAGTTTGTATAGACAACAATCGACAACCACCATTGGACTGAATCTCTCGGTGCATGGATTGCCAGCAACTATGATTTCAGCCTCTTTACGCAGCAGTGCATACAACTGTCCACTTAGTAGACGCTCCATCCTATCATATGCCAAAAGATGAGTGTACCTCAGTTTGTGTAGTAGTTCATGTTGGTCGTATTTTTTAATGGTCAACACCCTCCTTTTGTAGGTCCATATAATCACATTGTCACCAAAACTTGTAACCAAAGGAACACCACAGTTGAATAGGTCAACAATCTCATTGTCACCACCATTATGAAAAATCAACACAAATCTGTTGTATTTCAGAATATGATCGATCGCTCTTGATACACTTCCTATCTCATTCCTAGAGCTTTCATCAACTCCCTGAAAATCATCCTCTTCATCCTGTTTATCCAGAACAGCCATTATTGAGCTTTCAAGCTCTAGTTCCTCTGCGATTGCCCTCTGTAATCCTCTTCTATTTTTCCAGTCTGAACAATCTATGTGAATTATCTTATCAAAGCATAGTTCTGGAGTGGTTCTCCTATATGGGAGCACTTCTGCTATGGATCTAAGGACAGCAGACGCCCCCAGTCCATCCCAACCATGTAAATAGATGACCCTTTTATCTCCCATCGTCCGAAGAATTTGGAATATGTTCTCTCTGCTACCATCAACATTTCTGTTAAGGTAACCCTGGATTAAAACCCGTAATCAAGTTAGACGATATTTGCTAGAAGCATCACTAATTCACGTGAACGCAAAATCTGGATACACATGCATAAAAAACAGGTGCATCAGTAAATTATACACACGACTCAGTACTTGGTCATATGGTTAATTTATTGTCATGTCACTGACAGACTAGCATGTTTCTTTCCCTTGTGTATATACTCAACTCCCAGCCTAATCAAGAGCATTGTAGCTAGCCACATAAGTAGTTGTATTTTTTGCATTTAATATTATATCCATCCTCCAGTTAGTGAGTTCGGACTATTTATGCATCACATACCCAATTAAGGTAAAACGTTGATGTATAAAACAGACACACATGTGGAACCACGGAAATCTCAGCAGAATTAGATGAAGGAAAACGAGTAATTATTTCATGAACATAAATTGAACAAGAGTATTACCCTTGCAGCAGGAGAAGTCATGATGAAATTCACTATCAAGACCAAGAAAGAGAAGCAGTGGCTGATGAGTCAGTCTAACCCATCGGATGAAGTAGTGTCACCACCGCCTACATGCACAGCAACGACAACATGTTACATTTGAGCCTCAACCATTGTTTATAAACCAGTAGCACCCCATGCAATAGACAAAGCTGAAGTCAAAGAAAGAAAGGAGATGCCACCATGTGCTTACCTTGCAGCAGACAGGAGCAGCTTGATAATAACAAAATTGATTTCGGCTATTTGCCTGTTGTGATCAGCTTCTGCTACTGCTCGTAGAACGGCGAGATATGCAACAGAGATACGCAGGATATGGTTTGCCCTCTCAGTTGAGCAGCAGGCACGCCTTGTCGGTCGGTTTGGCATGGGAATCAGTCCTTCCTTCTCTCAACTAAAGAAGGCACAATTCCTTGCGTGTTCTCTGCACACTGGATGGGTCCCTTTCTTTCGCCAAAGCATGCATGCAGTTATGATGATGATTCTCTACCACGAGCAAAGCACCAACAAAGTAAACAGCCATCGATTCTCTTCGAACATGTCCCTCTCTTCGCCCCAAAACTGAACTCGTAGTGGCTGTGTTGGAGCCTGTCGCCCAAGCCCGTGAGTATCAGTGTAGTCTCCAAACTATCAGCTATGATGGTTGATGGATTGACTGATAATTTTCTCCAAGCAGAAAGAGTGCAGTCATACGGTACCATACTCCAAATTATCCCCAACCCAATCATGGTATCAGTTTAGTTCTTAACATAAGTATCAGTGTAGTCTGTACATCTGGGTCTGGAACGGACTTATCTTATATTGGCTAAAAGCCCTAAAACTACAGAATTTCAGCGAATTTCTTCAGAAATTCCGGGGGAGCTGGCTGATGCCTGATTGCCGGCGGTCCTCGGCGCCCCCTTCGTCTTCTCCCGCTCCGGGGTTGCCGGCGGTCCTGTATCCCGCCGCCAGCTTCCTCTTCTTCGAGCTGGAACCAGATCCGCCCGCCTCCGTCTCCATGGCCCCGCGCCCTCTCGTCGCCGGCCGCGGACGTGGCGAAGTTTTTTCTTTTTAGGTCAGCGTATCGATTACGATTCCGCGGCCCAGGCCCATGCTGTACGCGGCCTTTTTCGTTAGGCCAGCCCCATATGTGGGCCGCTTCGATGGCCCATGTGACGTGAACTTTTGTGAATTTCCCCGTACGCTATCCGCTCAGCTCGGCTCTCTCCTCTATCTAATCCCCTTCGGCTCACTGTGGCAAAGCAGAGGAAGAAGGCGCACTCCCCCAACAAGAGCCACGCGAGAGAGAGGAAGCCATGGCCATGTCGCTCTCCCTCGCGCGCCTGGCCCTCCCGCCGGTCCTCCAGGCCCTCCCCGGCAGGAGGCAGGCCCACTCCGCCCTCGCCTTCCCGGCCAACTCATTCTTCGGCGCGCCGCTGGCCGTGGCCGCCGCCGGCGCCGCCGCGCTCTCCCCGGCGGCCCCGCTCCCGCGCTCCCTCGCCGTCGTCGCCGCCGGGAAGGGGTACAAGATGAAGACGCACAAGGTTTCCTCCTCGCCTTCCTCTCTGGGCCGGTCATCATGGAATGCGTTTGTCGCCCTCGGCGTTTCTTGATTTCCTCTGCTCCGGTCTTTGTGTGCGCGCGTGCAGGCATCGGCGAAGCGGTTCAGGGTGACGGGCACCGGGAAGATCGTGCGGCGCTGCGCCGGGAAGCAGCATCTGCTCAGCAAGAAGAACGCCAAGCGCCGGAAGAGGCTCTCCAAGATGGTAACTACATGCTTCCTCTGCTCACTCTGCCACAGTTTCCTTCTTTGTTCAGCTAATGGTAGTTCAGTTACGAGAGCTAAATGTGAATTCAGTAGTGCCCAAACTGTCCACGGTCGGACGGTTTGGTTGGTGTCAACGTTCCGAATGCATTTCCAGGGCTGTGCCCAAACTGCCGCGAATTCCTGTGCTTCCTTTGAGCTGTGACAACAATGTACATAGTGTAGCTGTGTAGGATGTTTGGCATTCAGAAGCTCCTGCTTGTTATCATTGTGACTAGTTCTCTGTAGGTAATTTCAACTCATTCCACAGTTTATGAACCATAACTGATGCTATATCAAGTCGATGCCGAGAAGGTGGCGTTTCTTTCATATGTATTATGCTATTACTGCAAACTGCTAAATGTTGAATAGGGAATTATGATATGCCATGCTTTCAGGAAAATTTTGCCATCTTTAATTTATATGCACTGCAGAAATCATTATTTGGCCCCTTGAGAACAGAGACATATGCCAACAGATTAGCAACCATGAGCTATGGTGTAGTAATAGAGTAATAGAAGCACAAGTCGCTGGAAACTTAAGCCACTGGGATAGTAACAGTAATTTGCTCTGTGAAGTTCCATTTTGGTGTATCTTCTTTAGAAACTGTAGTACTATAACTCCATGACAGCTTCATTAGATCGGTGAAACTTGCCATTTTGTGTCGCGGCGCCAATTTGCTTGCCTCTGAGACTGCTCTCTTCCACTGCAGGTCCAAGTTAACAAGAGCGACTACAGCAACGTGATGGGTGCGCTGCCCTACCTCAAAGTGAACAAGAAAGCAGGCTGAGATCTACCGGGTCTGGTGAAATGACTGCCACTGAGTTTCTGTTCACCCACTTGTAATTTTGTGCATCTTTATCTGTATGCCTTTTTTTCTTAAATACATACCAATGCCAGACTTCACATTCCAAGCAATCATAAACAACTATTCATATGGGCAGTCCAGTGATGTTCCACAACACAGATGCACTCACTTGGTTGAGATGTGTGCATGGAGGACTCGATTCACTGACAGATGGTTGTGCCACGAGTATGACACCAGAAACAAGACACTTTCTTGAGGAACTTCAGGTTCTTTGAGTAGTCATTGCACACAAATCATCTCAGTTGTAACATTGGTCAGGGCTTCATACTGAGCCTACGAGTTGGATCTAGACATTGTTGCTTGCTTCCTTGCACTCCATGATATTATGTTTGAATCTAGGTATACTACAAAGCCCCCATCTGACCGTTTGTCATCTGAACAACCTGCCCAATTGGCATAAGAAAAGCAGCTAACCAAGGAAGATGGAGACTTTCTGAATGTGACACCAAGGTCAACCGACCCTTTATGCATCTTCGGATCCAGTGAGCTAAAATAGGTGCATGAAAATAATGGCAAACTTTGTTATCCAAAGAAGCGAGATCCGACCTTGTAAGAATTAAGTACTCAAGTCCTCCAACAACACTTCTATACTTGCTGAAGTCTTGGGCATTCGAAGGTTCTCCTTCACGGGTAGAAAGTGGAGTTGGAATAGCTTGCGATTATTCATATTGACTCTTACGAGTAATTCAAGTGCATACTTTAGGTGAGAAGTTGCTCATCATCTCGCCTCCTTACCTCAACGCCCAAAAGAGTTGCAAATACCCCAAAACTTTAAGGACAAAGTTAGAATTGAGATCGTCTAGAAGTGTTGTGACAGCATACCATCACAAAAATTATAGTAGTGCCCATGCAAATATCCATTTCTGAGCCCAGGCTCATCTGCTCATCTGCACGGTCAAGAAAAAGTTCACAAAAAATGCAAAACAATTCAATAAAAATCCTTTTTTTGCATCGTAGATAATTTGGCGCGTGAGGTGCGCTCCAAATTTTAGATTATTTGAATATATGAGTACCTCTCAGCAAAAAACATAAATTGAGTCAGAGCAGTACGTGAACAATAAATATTTTTACAGACCCCAAATTTGTCTTTTTTGTCGAGAGCTACTCAGATGTCCAAATGATCTAAAATTTGAAGCGTGCCTCACGCACCAAATTTTCTATGATGCCAAAAAGAATTAGAATATTGTGAATTTTTCTAGTATTTGTTTTGAATTTTTTTCTTCAATGCAGATGCAGATGAGACTGGGCACCGAATGGCTGCTCTCGTGACCATGCCCTTATCATTAAAGATAAATAGGGGCGTATTAAATTTTGAAGCAATAAAGTGAGTGCCTACATTTTTTTGCTTGACCTAGAGTACCACGCTTGAGGGCCTCTTTCAGGCGATGAAGGGTTTGCCACGTTTTCAAACATAGTGTGATGTTTAGGTGTGTTCATTTTTTGGGTTTTCACCCTGAAGATTAAGTCTGGGAAAATTCGAACAATGCCTTAAAAAGGTAAAAACAAAAAACACTGCCATTGTTAGGTATACCCAACTAGGGTCAGGCCTTGGGTTTTCACCTCGGAGCTCGAGACAGGTTACTCGAGAAGTGAAGTCATGCGTCACCTCGAAGGTCAGATCTTGTCGCCACCACTTTCCACGATCCGAGCGTCATGCGTAGTATGGGACGTGAGATGCCACACATGTGAGAAATCATACACGCACAAGAAGGCAGTCAAGAGTGGATCACCACCAAAGGCTCTAAATGATGAATGTCGCCATCGCACATGCGAAGAAGGTTGATGAGGGAGGAAGGTCACATGCACCTCCAAAATCCCAGTTTGGGACGTTCCAGCGGTCCCAACTATCCTCATGCTCCTTTGTTGTTGCCTGTAGCAGCATAATTGATCAGCAAAATATACTCGTCGTTCTCATAGGATCTCAAGGACCTTCGCGCCCATTGTAACAACCGCCCTACTAACAGCGCACGGCCATAGTGCCATCCGCGCACTCGAGCGGAAGACCGCCTCATTAGGACGCAAAAGGCCGTTGCTATCGTCTGTGTGCCCGAAAATGGGATCGCGACCACCAACACCTTGCCACCTGGGAGAGTCGGCCCGACCTGAAATACCAATACCACTTCTGGAAGCCATAACCTCTCCCTCAAATCGTTCTACATAGATCACATCCCATCACTGATGGCTACTAGAGTAGAGACCTCCCCGCGGCCGCCTTCATTGACCAGTGTGGGCGCTTACCCCGACCATTGTTGTAGTTGTGAGAGGAAGGGAGGATGGGGAGGTAGAAGGCGGCTACTGTGGCGATAGGGAGGAGGTGCAACAGCTGTTGGGAAGGAAGGGGGCCTGGTGGTTGTTTGAGATACACCTGCTCGCATGCAGAACTTCGCGAATTTGATGTATTCTGCACAACAAGCTAGTTGAACACCATCCTCTAGAGACAGCAAGGATTGACAGTAACACATACTCTGTCTGATCTAAAAAGGAAGAAAGGAAGGATATTAGAACAGTAACATATATGTTTATGTTGCCCAACATGTGTTATAGATATATGATTGTAGTAACACAAATTGTATGACGGTACCTGGTGTTACAAATTCTTAGGGGAAAATCATATAATTTGATTAAGTGCTTAATAGACGTCGTCATCATAACACATACGAACCGTAGAGGACACATAATTCAAGCGGCAACAAAAATGTCAGTCACAGGATTCGAACCAAGGAGAATCCAACAACACATGAGCTAACCATCAAGACGAATTAACATTGGTGTTAAATTGTCACGCTCCTTTCTTTACTATGCATTTAGCAGCGCAGTTGGGCTATGCAATTTTTTTATCTACTAATGGGTCAATGGCCTAAAAGCAAAGCCGACCAAGTAGTTTGTCCTGGCCCAGTGTGGGGCCTATAGCGCATCCCTCAACACCGCACGCGTGTTGAGCCAGCCCTGTGCGGAGCCGTGCGTCTTTTTTCATTTTTGTTTCCCTTTATTACCATTTCATTTTAAAAGGAATTCAAAATATGTTCAGGAAGCTTTGAACAATCATCGAAAATTCGAAAAAGGGAATTCAAAAAAAATCATGAATATGAAAAAGGTTTTGTGAATTTTAAAAATGTTTGTTAATTCAAGTATTCCAGGAAAATTCACGAATTTGCAAATAGTGTTCGAAACTTGAAAAAATGTTTGTGGATTTAAGTAGATATCCCAAATAAAAAATGATCATGAATTTAAAAAATATTAGGTAGATAAAAAATTCATGACTTTCAAAACATGATTATGTATTCAAAAAATAATCATGACGTTTCAAAATGTTCATTAGTTCACAAAGTGTTCGCTAATATCAAAAAATGTTCAAGAGTTCAAAACATCCTTGATTTTTGAAAAATGTTCACGAATTTGAAAATATTGTCACAAACTTGAAAAATATATTTGTGGATTCAAAAAGGTTTTCGAAATAAAAATGTTCATAAGATTTAGAAAATGTTTCTTAGTTCGAAAAAAGTTCACGAATTTGTTCATGAATTCAAAAAAAGAAATATTATGTTCGGAAACTGTTGTCAGTTCGAAATATGTTAAATTATTTCAAAAAATATTTGAAAGTTTGAAAAATGCTTGTGATTTTTGAAAACTGTTCGCAAAGTTGAATATATTTTTGAAAACTTGAAAAAAATTGTTTGTAGATGAAAAAACTTTTCAAGAAATCAGAAAATGTTCATTTAAAAAAATATTTGCGAGTAAGAGAAATTATCACAGATTGTAAAATAATTTCATGAAGTACAAAAAGATTCATGAGTTCGAGAAGTGTTCACTAATTTCCAAAAATGTTCGGGAGTTAGAAAAGTTCTTGTGTTGTTCGAAGAATGTGCATGAATTTGAAAAATATATTAAATAATGTCACAAAATGCTTGTAGATTAAAAAAGGTTCCATGAAATAAAACAATGTTCATAAAGTTTTTGAAAAATGTGAGTTCAAAAAATTATCACAACTGTCACAAATATTCATGAATTAAAAAAATAATCATGAAGTTCAGAAAATATTCATGAGTTCGAAAAGTGTTCACTAATTTCAAAAAATGTTCAGGAACTTATAAAACGTTTATGAATTCGAAAAGTGTTCACTAATTTCAAAAAAATGTTTGTAATTTTTTTTAAAAAAGTTGATCGATCCAATGTCGAGGAAGAGCCTCTAGGAGTTGGATTTTGAAAGTCGATCACGATCCGTGGCTTTCTACCAAGCCTCCCTCGACACTATCCAAAAATAGGACTTAGTCGCGCTCCAACGAGGCGAGGAAACCTATGTAAGAAAATATCATTGTGTCTATGGCTGTTAGTGTAGGACCTTCTCTATAAGGTCAAGCGAAGTGTGTAATACCCACAAAAATTTCTTTGAAAAATACATCAAAAAATATTGTAGAACCTATGTACAATATTTGGTCAAATGCACAAGATAGTTGGAAAAATAATTTTTTTGTGAGCGAAAAAATTCAGACTCTAAATTTTCTATGGTTTTTCAAGGTTTGTTTATGTGTTTTTGTTTTTTTATTGTAAGTATATGTAAAGTTATAAAATTTGGAATTCTAATCAAATGTTGCACAGATTATGTCATGTCAGGCCAACAGCCACCGCTGACAGACAAAATATCAATGTGAAAGGCGCGCTGGGAGCCGGGAAGGCAAATTTTACAGTTACATATGCGGGGTGTCAAAAATTTCGATCGATTTTTTACATGACATAAAAAAATTCGGCCGATTTAACAACACATCGAGTGCCAAGACCTAACATGTCCTGTATCCCACTTCGTGTGCCGCCCCACCAATCGTCGCCGCCCCCGCATCCTCACTCTCCTACTCCTCCCTGAGACTCATGCATCGTCGCCGCCCCGCAAGTTGCCATCCAAATCCGTCAAAGACCATGAGTCACCC